ACCATTTTGCATTCCCACCAACAGTGTGCCAGGGTCGCAAGTTCTCCACAACCTCATCTCCACATCCTTATCACGAATTGCAATCTTTGTTTTTTTTATTTTTTGAATAATAATCATTCTGACAGGTGGGAGGTGACCTCTCATTGTTTTCTATTTGCATTTCCCTGAGGATTAGTGGTGTTGAGCATCCTTTCATATGCTTATTGTCCATTTGTATGTCTTTCTTGGATAATTGTTTATTAGGTTTTTAGTGGTTTTAGGTTGCAGGAATTCCTTACATATTTTGGAAATTAACCCCTTATTAGATATATGGTTTGCAAATATTTTCTCCCATTCTGTAAGTTGTCTTTCACTGTACTATTTTCTTTACTGTGCAGAAGCTTTTAATTTTGATGTAGTCCCATTTGTCTATTTTTGCTTTTGTTTCCTGTGTTTTGGGGGCCATATGCAGTTTCTTAATCATTGCTAAGACCATTATCATTACGCTTTCCCTCAAATTTTTTTTTTCCCCTAAGAATTAGGCAGTTTCAGGCCTCGAGTTTAAGTCTTTAATTTAGTTTGTGTTGATTTCTGTGTATGGTAAAAGAGAAGGATTCAATTTCATTCTTTGATATGTGTTAATGCAGGAATATTCAAAGGTAAATGATTGGATTGTGAGAGCTGCAATCCAATCAGTCCATCCTAGTTTGAATGGACTCACTGTGTGGTAACTGTAGGCAGGTGAAACATGGCTGAGGAGGGGAGTCACTGGAAGCATGTCCTAGAAGAGTTGTTCTTCCTGTGGCCTTTTGGCCCTTTCCTCCCTCCCATCCTCTCTCCTCTTCTTCCTCCTTCTTCTACACCCTCTCCTCCCCCTGTCCTGACCCCTCCATGAGCTAAGCAACTTTCCTCCACCGAACCCTTCTTCCATAATGTGCTCCCTTACTTTAGACCCAGAGCGATGGAGTCAGTTGAGAATAGACTAGATATCAGAAGTCATGAGCCAAAATAAACTTGCCCTCCTCTAAGTTGTTCTTATTGGGTATTTTGGTCACAGTGAGGGTAAATCCGATGAACACAGCATGTGAATTTCAATTTTCCCTGCACCATTTGTTGAAGAGGCTATATTTTCTCCAACATATACATTATACACACTTGGCACCCTTGTCAAAAGTCAGTTGACCACATATGAATAGAATTATTACTGGGTTATGAATTTTGTTCCACTGGTCTATGTGTGTGTCTTTATGCCAATACCACAATTCTTTAATCACTGTAACTTTTTAATATATTTTGGAATCAGGACATGGGAGGCCTCCAACTTTGCTCTTTCTCAAGACTGATTTGGCTGTTTGGGGTCTTTTGTGGTTTCACAAGAATTTTTGGATTTTGTTTTCTTTTTTTAAAATTTATTTCTTTCATACATGACAATAGTGGAATGCATTACATTCATAATTATCCATTCACAGCACAATTTTTCATAACTCTGTATATAGAGTATGTTCATGGCAAATTATACCATTATACGTGAGCCCTCTTATTGATTTTTTTTTTTTTTTGCAAGGATGGTGGAAAGAGACGGTCATCATTATACAAAATACATGTATGAAGATGTGAATTTGGTGTTAACATACCTTATATACAACAGAGATATGATAAATTTTGGTATAAAGGTGTATTAAGAATTGGATTTTGTTTTCTACTCCTGAAGAGAATGCAATTAGTAGTTTAATATGCCCTGAATGTATAGATACTTTGTATAGTATGGAAAATTTAAGAGTGCTAAGTCTTCCAATCAATGAACATGAGACACTCTCTCATTCACTGTATCTTTAATTCCTTTCATCTGTGCTTTGTAGTTTTTAATCACACAAGTCTTTTACCTCCTTAATTAAATTTTTCTCTGAGATATTTTGTTGTTTTTGGTGCCACTTGAAAATGCGACTAATTTCTTAATTTCATTTTCAGGTGCTGCTGTTTATCTGAAAGACTGGAAATCAGGATCTGGAAGAGATTTCTATACTCTCATATCGATTAAAACCCAAGTCATGATAGATAAGATGCAGAGACAAACTAAATGTCCATGGAGGATGAATGGATAAATAAAATGCATACAAAGATGCATATGAGGAAATATTATTTGACATTAAAAAATAGAAAAGTCTGCAGTATGATGCAACATGGATATAACTTGAGGATCTCATGCTAAATGAAACAAGCCAAGCACAGAAGGAGAAATACTGTATGATTACACTTCTACTAGGTATCTAAAATAGTCAAACTTATAGATTCTAAGAGTGGAATTGAATGGTGGTTAAAAGGCCTAGGGAAGTGGGGGAAGTGTGGCATTACTAATAAATGGGCATAAAGTTTTACTCAAGCAAAATGAATAAATTCTAGAGATATGCTACTGTACAAAGTTATTATTTAAGCAATTGTACTATACACTTAAAAACTAGACAATAAAGTAGATCTCCCGTTGCTTTCTTACTACAATAAAATGACATTTAAAATAAATACATAACATAAAAGAAGATAAAATTTAGTGTATTAGTATTTTTCAAGTCAGTAAAAAGTTAAAGCGTAAGTTAATATGCAATTTGCAGTCTCATATGTATATAATATTCACAAAAGCAAGGAATCAAGCTTGTAAACATATGAAAATTACATTGTTGATATCATTCCACTTTGAGAATAATGACTCAAAGTCTATTCAATAATTTTAGATTAAAGCCTGGCACTTTCCATAGACCAGGGCTTTTGCATATCTTGCCTTATGATCCCATAAATGTTAGTGATAGTTTTTCTTATTTTGATAAAGGGCAGCAGTAGGGAACCCTGGATACTCACTGTCAGTGTGCATACGCACTAGAAAAGGCAGAAATGGCAGTTGATGTCTGCAGCAAGCTGTTCTGCATTGGTAAATGGACTTTTCACCTGGCACAGTTTAATTTCACCTGAGTTTATAATGCCTAAAAGTTGTTTCAAGTGCTACGATATATGATAAAAGCATTAACTAAATGTCACTTTACATTTATGCAGTTTACAAAGTTAATTTACATATATTTCTAAAATAAGGAACATCTTCATTCATTCAAGGTAAAGTCTGGCCTTACCCAGACCTTGCTGGGCTGTGAGATGGTTTCCTTCAGGTTCTTCTAGAATCTGCTTCCTAGCGAACCATCTCTCAACTCTGCATAGTTGATGGGCTTTGGGAGGTTGATGAAGGGCCATCTCTTCCCTGTTTATAATTTGAGGACTTCAACCTTGAGTTTATTCCCACAAATAAAATTTAAAAATCCTAAATGTAAATGATAAAGTCATATATGATATTCAAAAACATGCATGCTGCATGCTGTGCTGCTTCATGAAACAAAGATATCCAATGGCGGTCAACATGATTATGACGCTATAGAAATATTATGTTTATAAATTTTATCCAAGAAATAACTTAAATTTTCTACTTAAATATATATATTTACATAGAATTTATAATAATAATTTAATACATATTATGCATTTATATTATTACATACTGAGTTATAAAATACACATATTTCAAAACATATTTTAATTTGTTTGGTATTCTAACTCTTTGCATGTGTGAAAATGTAAATATTTATTTGTGTCAACAAAATAAATAATGTGTCTTTGGGATTAAAACCTTAGCAGGATAAAAATAATTAAATAAAAGTGAAGGGTACTGTCATTGGAAGGCATTACAGACCAAAAGGCTACAACTTTTGCTTTTAAAAAGAGCCCCTTCAGATGCATGCAAGGAATATATTGATTTACCTATGATCTTCTCTGTAGTAGTATTTTTATATAACTGTAAGTATCTTGCAAAATTAAGACAATATACATTAAATAAGTCATTTTTTTTTCAAAAAGTACACAAAATAGAGGCTAGAGATGTAGTTCAATGGTAAGTATTTGCCTAGCATGTGCAAGGCCCTGGGTTAATTTCCCAGCACCACAAAACAAATAAAATGTATACAACATATCATCAGGGCATATAAAACTATGTAGTTATCTTTAAAACTGAGGATGTTTAAAATAGAATATGAATTCCTTAGGACTGCTAGTATTTCATTTACTAAATCTCCTGTGACTCAAGTGTAACAAAATGTGAAGATAAATTTATCGCATATCAAAACAGAGTCTTTAAATAATAACAGAGTGGAACCTCTACAGTGTGAATATGGTTTAAGTGTGCCCATCCAAAGGTTCACAAGTTGGAGAATTGGTCCTCAAGGTGGCAACACTGGAGATGGTGTGGATCTTTAAGAGGTAGGGCCTTGAGGGAAGTCCTCAGGTCAGTGGGGACATGCCCTCATTAGAGAGGAAGTGTTTCTCAAGGGGCACTGGCTATTTCTCCAGAGAAGGTTGTTATGAAAGCTTGAGCTGGGCCCTATCCAGCCTATTTCCTGTCTGGATTCCTATTGGTTGTGATTTCTTCTTCCTGTATGCATCCCTATCATCCACAATGAGTTCATCACTAGAGCTGAAATGCCATGCCCTTGGACTTCCCAAAACTGTGAGTTGAATAGACCTCTTTTATTTATAAAGTTAGCCTGCCTAAGGTATTTCATTATAGTAATGCAAAATAGGCAAATACAGGCATCTTAATTGTAAATATTTATGAATTAATGAAATGGGAAACCATTGATGTATATAATTTAAAAAAAGATGAATCTAATAATCATGGTCATCTTGACTCAATCAACCACAAATTCAAGATTCCAGTTTTCCCACCACATAGAAATAATGACAGTATCCTTAACAAATTTTTGTAATGAAAAACATCATGGTAGAAACAAACAAAATGAACACGACTGTTCACAATGAGGTAAAGAAGGGAGAAAAATATAAATATTACACACACATTTTGCTAGTGAAAATTCTGGGGCAGACAGGAAAGAAACAAATAGTACATTAGAGGAAACTTCTATCAATACAGTCTAGATGCAGGGATGTAGTGAACACAAGCACCTACTAGCCAGAAAAATAATAATACTTACTGGAGAAAACCACATCACTCTAAGAATCCAAATCGTAAGAGCAAGATTCACAACAAGGATGATGAGTAAGAGAAGAACGAATAAGTAGAGGCAACGCTTTCTCCAGCCATAAATGCCAATTTTGTAGACACACTGGTTCTCGGGCCTCTCTATGGGGGTGCCTTCTGTGGTGGTTGTGTACTGTTCCCGCACCATCTGCCATGGGAGGTGTGCAGGAGGAGAAAGAGAAGAAGCAGGGAGGGGGAGGGGGAGAGAGAGAACTTATTTGTCAATACTGGTTTGCTACCAGTGGAGGAGAAAAGTTTTTAACCACAGTAATAAATTTCCAGAATTAATAGTTTTTGAAAAGGGAATGAAATATAACTTTGAAATGCATCACGTTTTAACCACAGGGAGATATTTAATCTATTATTTAAAATATTTTAGATATGACAAATTCATTTGAAATCCAGTGAACATATTTTCAGATTTTAATCAATAAACACAATACACATATACAGCTTTAAAAATTCTGCAGGGTTAAACTTGGAATTGAAGCATCAATGTCCAATAATCAAGTTATCAAGTTCTTGAAATATTCAGTGGGAAAAAAATCAAACTGGTATCTATCTATGTGTGTGTGTGTGTGTGTGTGTGTGTGTGTGTGTGTGTGTGTGTTCCAGTTACTCAATTTTATGTCAAATAATTAAATTATATCTTCCTTCAGTTAATCACTCAGAATTAAAAGGCTCTTTTCAAGATGTCTACCACACCAACCTTTGCCTCTAATAAAGTTCTCAAATATTTACCCACTTTAAGACAGATAAGAATACATTTTATATACAAATGTTTACAAATACTCATTGTTTACGCAAATTAGAGTAAGTTTTAGCCACCATTTCAGCTCTATGAAGAGATTTTAAAAAATCATTTTTTCCCTTTACACAAAGAATAAAAGAAACTGCTTTTTTTTCCATAAAGGGAAAATTAGAAATTATGAAGATTTTGTAAATGTGGTGAAGTGATGAATCAGAATATAGAATACCCTTGTCTGGGATGTTTTTATGCAGAGTTTATATGTTTATTTTTAGGGATGATTTGGATGTGTCCTTATTGAAAAACAAGTCATGGTCTAAAATAATTCTTTAAATCTCTTTCCAATTTTACAATAGACATTTTCTCATGTTGTAACTGACTATATAAAATTATTTCCACTAGTATCCTCAAGTTCACAGGACTGACCTTAATGATGATTTCATAAAGGCGTTACTTACGCATTTCTTTGATATCCTTCAGTCTTCTCTATATTAGACAGTGCAACACTATCCACTTAGTTACCCAAGCCCAGGTCCCTGATGCTAATTCTCTTTTCCCTTCAGCCACACCTTGGCATGTCCTATCAACTGCCCCTTGGTGAACTCTAATCTGTGTTGCTGCAAACTCCACTTCATTCTTTCCTCCACAGTCTGTTTTGCAGTGATGCAGACCAGGCACCCCACCTCCCACTCCATAATTGTAATAATTAAGCTTCTATCCTGGCCAACAAGATCTTTATGAAGAGCATCAATAGGCTTTCACAGGAGTTCTGCAGAGAGTGCAATGTGGTTTGAAGCTTCCTCTTTCTTGTAAATGCCAGGTGTGTAGACATAAGGTGTGATAGACTCTGTCTCAAGAGAGCTCACTGCACAAGTTATGTCTCTGTTTTCCATGTAAAAACGTGTGCGGCCTCTGTCCGCCTAAAACTATGGGACAAAGAGTAACTGTTGAGTACCCACCCATAGTCATGTAACCACCCCCACTGAGTATAAATCTAAAAGAATTTCCAGACCCAGGGTCCAGAGATTTTTAGGCATTAGTCCTTGGACTGCTGAAGCTTAAATAAACCTGTTTCCTGAAAATTCTTCCAGTATCCAACCTCGTCTGTCCTATATCAGCAGTACTGACATGATTAATAAAACTAGCAAAGTTTTCCAAGAGTGTGGGTATGTTCCTAATTCTATATGTTCCTATTCCTGTACATACTTTATTATTGTTGGCTGAACAAATTATCTAAAGTTTAGTGACTTAGCACAATACAACTTTATCTTATAGCCCAAAGTTCCCAAATATACATCTCTATGACCAAAATCAAAGTGCGGGCAGGGATGTATTTCTGTAGAGGGTGTAGGTGAGAATCGGTTCCTTCCTTTTCCCAGCTTCTAGAGGCAGCCTGAGTTCTTGGCTCTAAACTATATCCTTGTCAAATCTCCATCTCTGACTCTGGCTTTCCTGCCCACTCCTCGTAAGAAATCTCATGATTACACTGGGCACCCCAGTGTAAATTATCTAATTTAGGATGATCTCTCCATCCTAACAGCCTTAACACAATCACATCTGCAAAGTCCCTTTTACCAAGAACGTGCTCACAGATTCTGAGGGTTAGCAACATGGACATTTTTGGAAGGCATTGTTCTGTCTACCATAAAATGCTTTTGTTCATACATAAAATTGAGTATATTGGTATTCACTTAAGACAATTTTGTCTTGGGCTGATTGCAATTCTGTTACTCAGGCCCCCTAAATCAGTGCTGAGAAACTGAACAGTTTATTTGTTCACTTGTTTATTTCCTCCAATTTTTTAGAATGTAAACACCACGAGAATATTTTCTGCTTTATTCACCACTAGATCCTTCATTCACTAGATCCTTTATTCACTACTAGATCTAAATGAATGAATGAACTGTTGAGTTTGATAGATATTAATTGAGCTACCTTCCAGGAATGATGCTACAAAAGGAGGCTAGATTGACAGCAGCAAATCCTGTGAAGTATATACTAAGTAAAATATTATTGATTTATGGGTATATTCAATCCATTAAGAAAAGACTCAGTACTTGTTCTTAAACAATTATTAGGAACGAGGAGTTAATCTAAATTAGGATGCAGACTGGTGGAGAAAAATAAAATGTCTCTAGTATTTTAAATATGAAAAGAATATGAATGAGGATATACTATACAAGATTAGATAAACAGTTTTAGAAGGCATGAACCACAGTCAATGGCCTCCTGAGGGCTGTGGTCATGCACACTGCCAGGAGCCCTGGAAAACAGAAGATGCTTGCCGAATGTTTCTAGCCCAGCCCCATTTCTTCCTCTTCCTTACAGCAAAATAATTACAGTCAGTTGATTATACTCAATGTCTCTTCAATTCAGTTCTGTGACTTGCATTATCTCTAGAACCCACATCCAGCCCTACCACTTCATTGAACTTGTCCTTGCAAAATCACTGTTGACTTCCACATTGTTAAACAAGATGTTCATTCACAGGACCTGCAGCCATTTCCTCCTCTTCCTTGAAATGCTTTTTGTACCTGGGATCCAGAAACTTCACCTGGCTTTCTTCTCCCTGCAAAGACTTCTTATTCTCATTGACTGCTTCTGCTCATCTCCTTACCTGGGCTCAGTTTTGAATTTCTCATTTTCATAGCCACTTGCCCCTATTATAGATGCACATTTAAGTTGGGGATTCCCTTATGTATATTCCTAGGCTGGAGTCACCTTGGATCAAGATCCACACTTGGACCCCAGTATCCAACTGGGGATCTCAAACTTTGCAAAACTCTTCTCCCTGACCTGTTCCTTGTAATATTTTTTTCCATGTAACTAATGGAAACTTCATCCTTCAAGTTGTTTGAGCCAAAAATCTTAGAGTTGCTCGTAGTTCCTTTTTCTTTTCCATAGCACATCCACTCTGTCGGCAAGTCTTCTAAGCATTACGAAGTCTAGAGTGTGATTTCTACCATTTCCGTTCACCTGAACTATTGTAATGGCCATGGAACTGTTCTCAGCCTCCATCTCTATATCTTTTACTGTCGATTACCAACATAGAGGCTGGCGCTGTCCTTTTTAAACATGATCACACCCCACTTCTGCAAAAAAAAAAAAAACCCCTCTTGGAATAAAAACCCAAAATCCTTATTGCAACTGGCATGGTTCCTCCTGCCTCCACACTCTGTCACCTTCTCTGACCCCTATGACTCTAGTTCATACTGGTCCTACTCATGGTGAGTACTCAAGTGTAACCCCACTTCAGGGGCTCTGGTCACCATTCTCTCTACATGGAAGGTCTTCTCCCAGATAACTACATGACTCAACTTCCTCAAATCTCTGCTCCAAGTTCACTTATCAGTAGAGCTCCCCCACCAATGCCACCACAAAGCTGGCTATGTTCCCTTCTGCTTAAATTTTTTTACCCATGACACTTAACTGTATATTACACACTATATATTTTCCTGCTCATCCCAAGAGGGAAGAGCTTTGAACTGTTTGTTATTTTGTTATATCTCCAGCACCTAAACAATACCTGGTATATAGTATTGGTTCAATAAGTACTTACTGAATAAATGGAATAAAAATATTGAATGAACAAACAGCCAGATTACTTATATAAATTTAAAGGTAAAACTAACAATAAGATAAGCTGAGAGTTACTTCTGAGTTTCCTTGAACTTGTATAATTAGAAAGTGAAAACCTACTCACAATGGAGAATATTAGGTTGATTACTAGTTTACTGAGGAGACTCAGCAAGCTCCATTACAATCTGGCAGGTTTCTTCCAGGGAAGGGGAAACTGGGGATTGTGCTTCCCTGGTTTGCAAGTCACCCCACATATGCTTGAGTAAGAGGCTGGACCACTTCCTGTTGAGGACTTGCTGACTGTTGGGGGCTCATGAGTTGCTTTCTAATCCTTCCTTTCTGAATTGCATTTACCAAAATCATTTCTATTTGATCACAAACATGTTTTCTTTTAGATTTCCAGTTTTATTTCTTATTATGTCATGTTTTATGATTGCCTTTTTACACTACTCTGGATTTGTTAAACTGCCACCTACCAGTGTTAACTGTGTTGCATTAAAAAGGCCTTAATCTAGGTAAGCAGGAGCTAAATGAGTAGCTATATTCAATTTAAACCTCTTTAAAAAGTTGGTTTTGTTTTTTAATGTACCATTTATATTTCTTACAACTCAAATTTTTTATTAGACATTATATAAAATATTTCTAGACTCTCTCTAGTTTAGTGAGCTTCTTTCTGATATTTATATAGTTATCACTGGGAAGGAGGCCAATTCTTCAGCACTTTGAGGTCATGTAAATTGATATTCATGTTGGCAAGAAATTGTTCTGACTGGAACAACGCATAGCACTTTTGGACCTATTTCTAACCCTTTACAAAAAAT